AGGCATGGAAACAAATATACCGCGACAGCTGGCGACCGACATCTTGTACGCCTTGGACGCTGTGGGTGTGCTGGTCTCTGAGGTGTATAAGCTGGAAGCCTCTATCGGGCTCATTGGGCCACTATAGAGCACTTACTGGGCGCAAGAAAACGGAGTGCCCGGAATTGTGGGAAAACTGTGGGAATTTGTGGGAAGACTTTTGAGAGGTAGAGTGTGGGAAAGACCCTGCCAATTACCTTTAATAAGGGAAATTGTGGGAAGATTGAAAAAATAGGAAATCATTTGTGGGAAATTTGTGGGAAGACTGGGACGGGAAATATTGTTTTTTGTGGTTTGGGGCTGCCGCGCCGCGCGTTTTTTTTGTTGCTTGTGTTATGTCTCCGACACCTCCGCAGAGAGATCTCTATATATACACGGCCCCAGACAGACTTCAGCGGCCAAGTCCAGCCATATATATGTGTTTAAAATATGCGGCTGCATCTGGTTGAAATTTACATGCGGACAGAAAGAATCAAAACCTTCAAAAACACACCATGTTCTACTTTCCGTCGCACTTGTGCTACTTATTTGGATAAGGTCCATAAGTAGCATAAGTATACTTATGTTACTTATAAGTATAAGTACCGTAACAGGACTTATAAGTAAAACACATAAGGTAGGAAAACGTGTGGGCCCTTTCGATGAGTAATGACCAATGTCGAGTTCAGCGCGTCCTCAATTGTCTGTGACAACATTTTCGCCTCCGCGTCAGAAGGCGAATCAATGTGTGTCTGTAAGGACTTCTTATTTGCACTTACCTCGTACTGTTCAGCATATGCATCCTTATCAATGTCCAGTATTGATCAGTCTGCTGGCGCGAAAAAGAAAGGTGGAAGTATGGTCATCTTATCGATACTGAAACGGACATAGATCGGTGAGTGATCCGCAAACATATGTTCTGGTCCTACCGCCCACATGTTACTGATGACTTTCAACTAACAAAGGATGAATAATGAAGGAATAAAATATCGTAGCATTCCGACACGTAGGAGGGAGAGTTTTCCCTAGTCTCTTAGCTGCACATTCAAAACCTTCTTCACACCCTATGTGTGCAAGGGCGGTCCATGAAGTAAGCGTTCGTATGTCTTGGTTGAAATCTGCCGAAATGACAAAAAGCATACTTGTTTTAGCCACGTAATCATAGATGTGTGATAACAGTATGTCATTGCGTGCCTGCGCGTCGAGCGTGCGACCCGGAAAGAAATAGGCGCAGACCACCAAAACCTCAACCGCACCAAGACAGCACACGCACGATACAAAGCGGCATGACTGGTCCAACAGGGTCGTGTCGGAAATCCGGGCCGCCCTCGATTGGACACGTGTCATGATCGCAGTGCCCAAAGCCTCTCCCCGGCGGGAGGGTTTATTATCCCTTAAGGCAGAGGTCTTCATTTTATCATCTACTGCCTGCCCACAGAAAATCTTGTACCGAGTATCCTGAATGGACTGGTTAAACTCTCGTTGGATAATCGCTGCTGCCGAGGTTTCGGCAAGTGCTAGTATGTCGGCACTTAACGACGCCAGCAGTTCTTTTCGATTTGCCATCGATGTTGGGTTCACTAGGCACACATCGACCGAGTCGTCTGGGCCGGGCTTCTTGGCTTCGCCAATGCGGACCCTGATAATCTACAATGCAAAGTGCCGATGAGCTTGTGGACCTGTGGAGAACAGGATGTCAGTCGACGAGAAAAGAAACTTACCTCCTGAAGCCAACCCAGTGGTCAAACCACTTGGTAAGCCCGACCACACCTTGTCGACGTTGTGAGACATGCACAAAATTAGCCCAAGAACTAGTTGACACGGCCGTTGGAACGAAAAGAAGATTTGCCTTTCTGTCATTTATGCCATTGAAAGCATGTATCAAAAAAACACCTACCTTTTAGACAACTTCACTGGTTTTTGCAATGATTTGGTGAGAATTCAGAACACAGATTGCATAGCAATGCTAATGCTCATGGCAATGCAAATAGTACTGCTAATGGCCATTCACCCTTGACCTGTGGCAATGCTAAGTGGGGCCTTGATGCCATTCACCGTAGTGCCATTTTCCCTGTGACCTGTGGTGGGAGCTTGATGTTGATGCCAACAGCAATGGTAGTGCTCATGGCAATGCTAATGGTACTGGTAATGGTCATTCACCCTTGACCTGTGGCAGTGGTATGTGGGACGTTGATGCCATTCACCATAATGCAATTTTCCCTGTGGCCCAAAAAGTGAGCCAACCCCTTCACTGGAAGCAGTGCGGGTTCTTTCAAACAATGAAACTGCTGACTCAAAGACTGTGCCTTTGCCATGCCAGCAAGTATTGCACGTGGTAACGGGACAGTTTTTCCAGAAAGTTTCCAACCTGAATGCTAGCAATATAAACTTGATTGCCACCAAAATACTTTAAAGCTTATGGCACTGGCAATGTTAATGGCAATGCTCATGCTGATGCCAGTAGTGGTGTTATTGCTAATGGTGATGGTAATGGCTATTCACCTTGTGACGTGTGGCAATGCTAATGGCAATGGTTATGCTCATGACAATGGTGATGGAATGCCATTCACTCTGTGACCTGTGGGAGCTATGCACCCTGTGACCTGTGAGAGTGGGAGGTTGACGTTGTTCACCCTCGACCTGTGGCAATGGGGATCACAATGGCAATGCCAATTCCTGGGGCAATGGTATTGCAAATGGCGATGGCAATGCAAATGCAATGGTGATGATAATGCCATTCACCCTGTGACCTGTGGGGGCTTGATGCCCCACAGGTAGTACCTTGGGGGGATAGTACCTCGAGGGGGGTCGGCCAAAATAAAATGGATACCACAAAAAGGCACACTTACCTGATACTGACAGCTAGCTGCGGAAGACAAAGGCAAACGTATAAAGACTTGCGCCGAGTGCGTCGACGTTGAGGACGAGACGTTGTTGTTACAGATATAGTGTCCAAGGCAATGGTTTGGTTAGTCCTTGGTCGTTGGTAGGTGGTCGTTGTTTACTCGTGAGTAGTAGTCTTCTAGTTCATCGGATCTGGGGGGGGGTCGGCCAAAAAAAAGGGTTTGTTTTTTTCTTAGTTAAGGGCAATTGTAACACATGATTTCAAGTGGCATTGTAACACCCTCTTCGCCTCTTCCGTTCGAAACATCTTTCTTGACCTCGAGTCGCCTCGCGCTCCGCAGAAGGAGACTGAACCCATCTGGGGTCGTCCGGCTCGTCCGCGGTCATCTCGGCGATTGTGCCGCATCAAGGTCTGTGTGGACCACGAATCGGGGCCCATGGCCTCAGAGCCCAGGCTGCAGACTGGATTCGAGGTGATCCCGAGACTGCATGTTTTCATTTTGCGTCGCCCTATGTTGTAAATAACATCAAATATAGACTAATAACAACTAAGGTGATTAAGTCGGCAACTAGGTATGCCTGCAAACAAATTGGACATGTTTGTAATCAACATTTGACCATGTCTGTTCTTGCATAAAACCCCTTTCCTTGGAACTAGAAAAGATGGGGAAGAGGAAGGCCATCCAAAATTGTAACGGACACCGCGTAGACCAGCAAATGCCCCTCGAGCTTTATTTCAGCCAGCTGTCCTGAAGGCAGGACCCCTGGCCCTAACCAGCACGCGGACAGTGCTTCAGTATCGCCCTACACCCTACTAGTGCACAATGGCCAACAAGTTTCCGGCCACACCCACTAAGAATGAAGCTGAGATTTGCACGCCTATCGCTCAATGCTCCCTCTGCCCAGTTCTGTACCAACTGGGCACCCTGACCATCTCGCCTGGGAATTTCAAGGAGTTGGCCACCTGCAAAGCAAGCAACAAAGCTGCAGTCCATCCACACGCAAAACCAAGCCATAAATGCTGTCATGAATCCACATGAACCCCTCACTCACAGCAAACTGACTGAAACTTCCTGGTGACTGTGTCTTCAGCTTTAGAAGCCCATGTCACATGTCACATGTCCTTTATTCGTGGCAGTCCTTTCAGTCTATGAAAGTCAAAATGCTTGCCGGCACCTTTGGTTGTGACTGAACTTTCCTACAAACAACTTGCCTGCGCTGATGGGAAAGTGTCGCCCAAGTTCACAACCTGCAACTGAGGTGCTGATCATTGTATGAGTGCCCACCGCTGCGACCCAAACTGCAATTCAATAATGGCACTGCAAAAGGGCTCCCACTTGCTTCTTACCGAAGCTGCCACATGTCCCGAGTTTTGAAAGCATGAAGAGCCCGCAAGCATCCACGTGCACAAAGCATAGGATTCAACGCTTTCTGGGCTCACTTCCGATCTGCGCCCCCTCTGAATGCTGAGCCACTTGGGCTCCAAGGATCCTAAGGAACTGATCGTATCACAGCCCCTTCACTGCAAGCACCCTGTGCCTCAAGTCGGCGGATGGTATCGCCGGCCTCGAACGTTCGGCACCCCCAAGATGCAAACCTTGTAACACCGAGCTAGACATAAAGCTTTCAAGTTCAAAACATCTTTCACTTCGGTTCCACAAAGCTCAAGCAGCGTGGCCTGAAGCACCTCGTTGATGCTGCTCTCCTTGGAGAGTGCCTGTCCAATCAAATCCTTGGCACCCTTTATGTTTGCTCGTTCTTGCACCCTTGTGGGTCCTTGCATTTTAATTATAGGGGTCCCAACTTGAGACAAGTTGATACAAGTGCAAGGTGTCCTCACCAAAGCATAAGCACAACTGGGTGGCGGCTTACTCGAAGGAAACGGGACAAAAAACCGCTTGAGTCTGGGTCAATTCACTCAGCAATCGCTCTCTTCCTTGCGCGTCCGCCAGGTTGAATCGTGCCGAAAGGTTGGCCTGATACCCACTACTATGTTTTTAAACATGTCCAAATGAAACGTCGGTATATAGTATGTAAATCAATCAAAGATAATCGGATAATCAAGGACTGGTCAAACAAAACTCGCGACAGTCCCAGAGGGAAAACAAGTAATGCCCCAATCACACGCCCTCTGCTTTTTCCGCGGGTGCGTGCTTGCTTGGGCGGGTTTCTCACTCCTGAGATTTGAAGCTCCGCAAAAGGCTTTGAGAAACTCCACGCGTCCGAGAATACAGGTCAGTCCAGAATTTGATCCTGCCATATGTCACCTGCTGTGCTTTTTGAGAGCGCTTTCTGTGATATACGTATGCTTCTCCTTGATGGTCTCGACATAGGCGTCAAGCTGCAGGCGGATCGCGGGGCCACTCCGTCAAGTGCCCGGTTAAGACCAACGCATCTTTCTGCCTGGCTTGATGTTTTGGACCCAGCTAACGACCTCCGCATCACCAAAACAAGAGCTAAGTATACCACTACCATGGGAATAAAAAGGAACACATCATGCCTCAGCTAGGCGACCAAGGCTTCCAATGTAAATCTTTGACCACAGCATGGGCTCCAGGAGAAGTCGCGACAAGCACATGTGGATTTCGGTCAGCTGAAGGCACCCCCAGTACACCCACAGCAATGGTATTCTCACCTGGAAAGCAAACCGCCGATAGAATTTTGCCGCTGATCAATTGAGTTACTTGTCATGTTCAATGATTTAAACGTTGATGAACATATCGGCCCAGCCACCTCGTGCAACTGTCACAACTCTTAAACTGGCTGTGCTCCCCGGCCGCAACGTTGCGATCTCATTCAACAAGTCTGGTACCACCGACCTGTGGTCCATTTGCTTCGGCTTCTGAAAAGAACCATGGCAAACCACCATACGCTCTGCTGAAGAAACCCATCCCTCGGGCACCACTACTGCATCTAGGAGCGCTCTTTTTGACTCGTCGTCGAGTTTCACTCCAGACACATCGATCACCTCTTGTTGCTTCGGAAATATTTCAAATAGGAAACAGCCTAAAACGTACACCTTTTTCCTTGAGCCAAAGCCACGTATGGTAGGGGTTATGTATGTACACTAGCTGTGAAAAATACCCCCCGCGGCGCCGCCAGTTCACTGGCAGCACCGAAGAGGCAGACAGCAGCCACCATAGACCTTAGGACGGGCTGCAATGCTATGTACAACATGCACGACCTACGAATGCGTGGTTGTAATGGAGAAAGTTGCAAATGAGGCTCGGATCTTTTGCGCTCGTAGCGGAATGCTGCAAAACAAAATGCACGGCTTAGGTTTCCACCTAGCATCACGGGAGCAATACCACTCCAATCAAGATGCCATAGGTGACATGCACCGTGAATTATTATAGACAAAATGAATGCACTAGGCATGCCAGCCAAAATGGACACGGCAAACCTTCCGGTTCGCAACGCTGTTGAAACAGTTAGCCCAAAAGATGAAAGACGGCTAACGTTCCCGTTAGCGTAGCGAGCTTGAAACTCCAATACTTCACATACTAGAATGAGAAAGAAAGCGTTCCGGCTAACGTTCCCGCTAGCATGGAAGATACACACTCTGATGGCCGATAAGGATCTATGGATCCCACTCCCAGTACCATCCCCGGGAGGCAGTCCACTTCCACGAAAAGCTCCAAGATCCGGACCATTCTCGGTCGCCGTAGTAAACCCGCTCCTGGGCAGGCTTACCCTTACCCTTCTCCTTGCCCTTCTCTTTGCTATGCCCCTTGTATGGCTCGGACTTATACTGCCCTTTCTGCGGCTCATACTTGCCCTTGCCCTTCGGCTGAATGTCGCTCTTGCCCTTGCCTTTGGCCTTGGCTGCGCCCTTCATTGCAATGTCCTGGGCAATGGTGCGCTCCGGTGGCCCGACCACGGCATCAGAAGAGCTTCCGGCTGCGCCCTTTCCCTCCGAGGGCTTCGGCGCCACTCGCCACTGGTGTGCGGCTGGCGCCCATGGGCGCGGGCGATCGGATTTGCCCTTGCCCTTCTCCTTGCGGGATTGGGTCCGCTGCTGGAGGCGCTGCTCGTGATAGGTAGGGCAGTCAATCTTGTAGTGTGGCCCCCCGCACACGAAGCAGCCGGAGGCTGGAGCTTTTCCTTTGCCTTTGCCCTTCTTGGCTTTATGCTCGGCCTGGTCAACGGGAAAGAATCCAGATCGAAGATTCTGGTTCGCCGTCGACTTGCGAGACACCGCGCTGACCTTCTTGTGCGTCCCCTCGATCACCTTCAAGCTGTGCCCAAATTCATTTGCAGCATCGGGCCAGTTCAATCGGGCGAAGGACACAAGATCTTTGAGGATGTTCTCGGCCGAGCCTTCCGGCTGGCATCGCTTATCGTTCCAGCCGATGATCACGGGCGGAGGCTGATTCTTCTGCAAGATTGCAAAGTCGACGTACGTGGCAAACTGCGCCAAGGTCAAGAACCGGCATTTGTGTGCCACGAACGCCTCATCAGCCAAATCGACGGGATCGTCGTCACCCCGGTCAAGCTTCAAAATGAAGCAGAGACGGGTTGCACGAGCTTCCAGCTCCTCCTGCTCATCCGCAGCCTGGTCATCCTTTCCAGTGCCCTTTCCCTTCTTGCCTTTCCTCTGCTCGGCTGTTCTTCCAAGCTTCGGATTCATGCTTCGTCCGAGCCGCTGCAGGAAATCGAGTGCATCGGGTGTGAGATTCGCCCTTGCGCAATTTACCGCATAAAATGGGTCGGTTTCCAGCCTCTCACGAAGGGTTGCGGCACCACGTTTCTTGGCTTGACGAATGTGGGCTTTCGCGTTGTCACGAAGGACTCCGAAGGCAGATCGGGCACCGCGACGTTCAGTGTCGCCGGCTTCAGCTGCGGATTTGGTTTGTCTTGCTTTTCTCGGGATCCGCTTGATGAGGTCTTCGATCACACAAGTTGTGTTCTGAAGATCTGCCTCAGCCTGTGCCCTGGCCGCTTCTGTGGCAATCCTGGCGTCCGGCCACACCGTCAGGTGGGCTTTGCAGTAGTCGCACTTGATTCCTCCCTGCCAATTCTCATTTCCGCAGAGCGGAGTGCGACACTTCTCCACAGGGATCCGAAGGATCACATTGATGGCGACATCCTTGGGCTCGAGATCATATTGTCTTGCCCACGCGCCCACGGACGATTCCGGTTGTGGTGCGCGCTCCTCAGCCCCGCGATGTCAGAGTCCTGGACAATCGCACATGGGGCGAGCATGTAGCCCTTCAACTCGCAAGACTCAGCCTCAGTTCCCGGCTGCGCCTTCCGGCGAGCGTCGGTTTGGGCAAGTTCATCGATGACCCCTTCGAGCTCACGGGGTGGCCGAACGATGTTCACTGCACCCTTGACGATCTTGGACTTGACGTCCGCCCAGTTGTCGACCAACATAAAATTTTTCATCATCCCGAGTCGGGAGAGCTGATACTGGGCCGGTGCTGCGGGATGATTCGGATCGGCATCCTGAAATTCCTTGAGGCTGGAATGATAATCACTCCGGAATTTCGGATAGGCTGGACCCAGAGTACGCCTTATTGAAAAAATTCAATAACTTTCGCTTGTTTCAATAATGGCTATGCATTTCAATAAAACTGGAAATTTTATTGGTTTGTGTTTCAATAACATTTTGGCACCTGAACCAATAAGGAACCTACATTTCAATAAGACCAATTTCAATAATTTCTTGCTCCAGATGTTCATTTCAACACAAGTGCAAGATGTCTCTTTTTTTTGCCAAGCAAGTCTCTTCAAAGCTCTTGTAGCCCTTCTTCAGGGCATTGCCTTTGTGCAAGGCACTGCCTTTTGTTCAAGGCTTTCAAGAGTCATCACTGGCTGCAGACAAAGCCTCCTCTCCATGGAGATAGCGCAGGTGCCAGCCAAGTCTAAACCTCCAGAGGACCTTCTCAGCCACCAAGTGTGGTGCACTGCCATTTAGGCAACTGTGAGCAAGACTAGCTTGATAGCCAACCATGGTTTCTCCTGAGTATGTACTCATGAAGCGAGGGTTCATGAAGGCTGCTTGGTACCCCATGTGTGCCACTAAGTGGTGTTTACGCACAGTGTTCCATTGTAAAAATCCTTGATCAATAGATAGCTTTGCACATCGGGAGTAATGCAAAAGAGTCAGGTCACAGACCTTCTTGAATGCCTTGCTGTCTTCCTTGCTCATGTGAAGACCATTTGAATCCATCAAGTCATACATGTGGGTGAGGTTCACCAGGCACTCCCACCTGTGTTTGCAATAGGGATCTTCATGGTCAGTGTATTCCTGAATGATCTCTTTCATGACTGGGACCAGGTAGCGAATGTGTCTGGCTTTGTACCCTGTGATTTCAGGAAATCTGTCATACTTCTGGTTTTTGCAAGTGAAGTTGGACAGGGTCAATTTTTTGATCTGATTGCTTGACTCAATGCCAAGTTCAAGATATTGCTGCCTGATAAGCTTGTACATTCTCTGCAAATTTTGATCTTGACTCCCAGCTCCATGGCCACCTGGTTTAATGATTAAATCAAATAGGCAGTTTGCCAAGGTGTGTGCACTGACACCCTCCTCCAAACAGTGCAAAGTGTCATAGGCCACAGTGAATATATTCAGGCCAGGAACCTTAGACACAGGATGCCCACCAGGCAGAGGTGTGCCAGGCTTTGCCAAAGATGACCTCCACTTTGCATTTGGCCGATAATCATTGTGTGGTGTGCAGGACTTGTTTGCTTTGCAGTGCACACAGACAGATGAATGTGACCACCCTGGCAGTCTCAGATCGTTTTGTAAAAACTCCCCATCAGCACTGAACTGGAACAATGTGCCTCTGAGCTTGTCTTCCCAAAGGTGACTGCCAGCTTTCTCTGCCCTCTGAGACTTCTGGGGCCATGCCTTGCCCAGGTGATCATGTTCTGGGTATTTGCCATAAAATAGATGTGAGAAACTCCAAGTGAGTACTTCCCACACTGCTGACATGGTGTCATCCTTGAAGTCTGCAGTTTTGTTCTGGCAGGATTTGGGAACAGCTACTAGGAGCATCTGAGAAGATGATGCATTCTCATCACTCAGCAAGCTTCTGAATGAGATGATAGTGATGGAGTCAAATTTCTGAAAGGCACCCCCATCAGCATGAACCATTAAGGGCAGGCACTGGTCCCTTTGGCTTTTGAGTGGGCTGTTGTGTAGCTTGGGGTCTGATGGATCATGTTCTTCCCAGAAAGTTTGCAGCTGGCTTATTCCTGACACATTGGAGTGGCTCTGCATCCATGCAAACCACTCATGAGGCAGGAATACTGCCAACTTCTCAGTGGACAAGAACCACTTGTCTGCCCCTTTTTTCATTACAGGAGCTTCAAAGAAGTAGGGGAAAGGAACATCCAACTCTTCACTCTTGCAAAATTTCGATGTCAAATTGGCCAGCCACATGGTTCTGATTCCTCCCAAAGTTTCCCAGGCTGGAAAGGTCTTGTATGTCATGAGCAGTCACTCCAGACTTTGCAGCTGCAAAAGCTAAGCTCTGCACTGAAGGGCCCTGAGCTGGAGCAAGTGAAGGAGGAAACACTCCACACAACCCCCAGGCACAGAAACACCCTTTGCAGCAAAGCCTCTGACATCCCATGTGCAAATTGGTCTAGCAGTGCCAGACCAAGAGGGCTCATATCCTCTAGTAATTGATGTCTTTCCTCAACTTGGTGTGTTTTCTTTCTTTTCCATTTGGCCATACTATTTTGTAGCCTTTCCTCAAGGCTTTGCCCTTATCCAGGGCTGAAAAGACCCTTTTGCACAGGTCTTCTTCCTGAAGGCTGTATTTGGGCCAAACACTTGCCTGAACAAAAGCCTCTGGCAGAGTCAAGTGGAGAAAAACAACATTTCATTGAGAGCTCCCACCCTTTTTTACCTTTAAGGCTGCCATCTTGCTCCAAAAGAAAGCCTATGCCCTTCCTCAGGGCTTGGCCTTTCTTCAAGGCTCAAGCTTTTTGTATCTACTTTTTGATTCTTTT